AGCCCAAGAGTTGGAGGTTGCTGTGAGCTGTGATGCCATAGCACTCTACCCAGGGGGATAGCTTGAGGCTCCGTCTCAAAAAATAAATAAATAAATAAATAAAATAAAATAAAATACCCTCTTAAACACATAAGAACATGTACTACTACTTACACCAAAATAATCAACTGCAAGTTTCATGTCCTTTTTTGTAACATAAGAACTTTTTATAAAAGAACTTTATACTATCTATAAGAACTATTTACACATTTCTCATCTCCCATCTCACCATCCACACCAAAATATTGATACACAAGTATAATGTATTTCCAATTAACCTTAGTAGCTCTAAGGTACTTAACTCACGGCTTTTCATATGATGAGCCTCATTACTATTTTTGTTTGGTGCACAAATTATTGCCCCAGGACATCCAGTGAAAGGGCACTCTCATTTTTTCCCTGGCTCCCCTCTACTGCAGCCAGAGTATTAATACTCCACTTATATGCTCCTGAAGTTATTTATGAAATTCTATTTTCATGTCTTGACTACTCCTACATTTTCAATGATTCCACCTCGTGTCAATAATTTTGGCTTTATGTTTAGAGTAGCACTATGTACAATCACATCATCAACTACTAAGTAAAACAGCTTTTTAGAAGTAAATCAGATAAAATATCTGCAGTTTCAAATAAAGACATAAAGGCCAGCACAGTGGCTCACACCTATAATCCCAGCATTCTAGGAGGCTGAGGTGGGTGGATTGCCTGGGCTCACAGGTTGGAAACCAGCCAGAGCCAGAGTGAGACCCTGTCTCTAAAAATAAGCGGGTGTTGTGGCAGGCTCCTGTAGTCCCAGCTACCCAGGAGGCTAAGGCAAGAGAACATGCCCAAGAGCTAGAGGTTGTGTGAGTTATAACACCAGACAGTGTCTCAAAAAAATAAAATAAAAGATGATAGTTGAATAAAGGCTCAATTTTACTAAACAGAAAATATGAGTAACAGGCCTAAATGAACAGTTTTTGTAAGGGTAACATTCTTTCTTGATTTTGGTGCTGTTTACTCAGGTGCATTGACTTTGAAAAAACTGAGTAAATACACTTGTGAATAGTGTACTTCTATATATATTTCAATAAAATTTAAATAAAAAGGCTCATTTTTGCATCTCCACATCTATCATTCCTTTACAGAGTCTTTGTTTCAGGCTCTGTATTTTGTAAATCAAACTGCTACACCATCATGTGGATTAAAGGAAAGAAATTCAGATTAATAAGAATTAAGATATCCAAATCACAGTAAATCAAGAAAAGACATTGTGGCTCGGCACCTGTGGCTCAAGTGGCTAAGGCACCAGCCACATACACCTAAGGTGGTGGGTTCAAATCCAGCCTGGGGCCGCCAAAACAACAATGACAGCTGCAACCAAAAAATAGCCAGGCATTGTGGCGGGCGCCTGTGGTCCCAGCTACTTGGGAGGCTTAGGCAGGAGACCAGCTTGAGCCCAGGAGTTGGAGGTTGCTGTGAGCTGTGATGCCACAGTACTCTACCCAGGGGGATAGTTTGAGGCTCTGTCTCAAAAAAAAAAAAAAAGAAATGACATCATAATGCTCTTTTTGTACAACATGAAGAACTCTAGAATTGTTTTTCATTTTTACCAAAAGGGCATTACCTGGAGGAGTGACGCTGTAGGACTAGGTTAAAGAATATTCTGCCTCTGAAGGTATTTTAAAATAGAATTAAGCTATAGAATTAAGCTGCCATTAATTGTCATTGAAGTGGTACCAATTAAAGGCAAAGAGAAAAATTTTAACAGGTTTCTTCTTGTAATTGCATTTAAAGCATCTAAATTCACTTCTCCATTTGGAGCTGTCATATCTTTGAACATTTATTTGGAAACAGGGATAAATATAAGAGGCTGTATCAACTGGAAAATGCACTGATTTAACATTCCTTATTCTTTTTTTTTTTTTTAGACAGAGCCTCAAGCTGTCCCCCTGGGTAGAGTGCCGTGGCTTCACAGCTCACAGCAACCTCCAACTCCTGGGCTCAAGCGAGTCTCTTGCCTCCGCCTCCCAAGTAGCTGGGACCACAGGCGCCTGCCACAACGCCTGGCTATTTTTTGGTTGCAGCCGTCATTGTTGTTTGGCGGGTCCGGGCTGGGGATTCGAACCCGCCACCTTAGGTGTATGTGGCTGGCGCCTTAGCCGGTTGAGCTATAGGCGCCGAGCCAACATTCCTTATTCTTGATGCAAAGACTGAACTGCTTCTCTACATTTAAAATAAAATTTAAATTAGAAGACTACTTTCAACCTATTTTCAAGCCTATATTCACTACTCACAAGCTACACTGCAATTCTTCAGCAAAACATTGTTCAAATATTAGAGATTTTACCTATGTTTCCCAAAGGACGGACCACTGTTCATAAAGAAGTGGGTCATTCCTACTCTCATTTCCGTGAAACATAATCGACGGATACTCTGTTCACAAACACACAAAGCTTCAAGAACCTGAAATATTTGTCCTAAAGAGCTACAGAACCCTGTTATCAAACATACTTCAGTCCACAGTGAAGGACAATACAATTCATCTCCACCCTCCACCACATGTACTTAAAAACTAAAAATAAAGATAACATAATTGAATATACGCTGGCAATGGGGAAGAAAACAATCTGTGAAGGGCTTCTAGACAAATCAATTAAAACACCATACACTGGGTGGCACCTGTGCTCAGTGAGTAGGGTGCTGGCCCCATATACTGAGAGTGGTGGGTTCAAACCCAGCCCCAGCCAAACTGCAACAAAAAAATAGCTGGGCATTGTGGTCTGGGCCTGAAGTCCCAGCAACTTGGGAGGCTGAGGAAAGAGAAGCACCTAAGCCCAAGAGCTGGAGGTTACTGTGAGCTGTGACACCTATAGCACTCTACCAAGGGTGACAAAGTGAGACTCTATGTCTTAAAAAAAAAAAGTTAAAAAAAAAAAACATACAATGATGGATCACCATGTTAGCGCCAATGTTAAGTATGATTCTGTTTAATAATCAATTTCACATGGTTGCAGAAACCACACAAATCCACATCAGATGAACTCTCCAAGAAAAATTATACAACTTTAAAACCAAATTACAACTTACTACAGTATTCTCTAGCTAAAAAAGATACCACTTTAAGCAGAGTCTCCAAAACTTTACCAGTTATGGATGAAAATAATCTCAAAATATATCATAACACTCCCTTTCATTTTAAAATCAATACTTTGCAAAGTGTCCACAGATCCACATGTATCCACATTTGTTCCAAAATGAAGGTTCCTAATCCCCAATTTGAAATTCCGATTCAGTAGGTCTGGAGTGGGGCCAAGAATCTGCCTGTTTGCACTTAATAATGCAGAGGAAAAAACAAAAAAAATACATGTTCTTAGTGATGCAGGATTCCTCATTAAGAGCATCAACTGTTGTACCAGGCCTAATCATAATGATCTCAGAGGTCAGAGAAATCTTCAACCTATTTGCCTTCATGCTGTGAAGCTACAGAACACTAAGATCTTGAGCTCCTACGACCCTTCTTATTTCCTACTTCCTTATCAACAGCAACCCTTTCCTATGTCACCTTTTAGAAGATACCCTTGCCCCAATTCAAAACAGAGTCTCAGAGACCAGAATTTTGTCTTAAGTATAAAATGGCTCTAAATGAAGTAGGAGTGGCGTGATTACGTGCACAACACATACTTGTGGGCAACCTCTTTGTGATGGCTACAGTGGCGGCTCAGATACCTGTTTGGGTGATTTTCCCGACCTGTGCCATGCTCCACAGTGTCTGTCTAGTACGGATCAGACATTCACAAATACTTGCTGAATGATGGACGACCAGGTGAGGTATGACACACAATGGCTTACCACAATCTTTGACTCTGGGAAAAACCGATTCTCAGTTGCTACTTACACTAACAAACTGAATGTCATCTTCGTTTTCATCCGTTGTTGACTCAGATGCCTCAGGCCCAGCTGGAGGGACAGATTCTATTATCTACAAAAATAAGCCAAAACATGCTTATCTATTCAGCCACGTATTTGTGGGAAGTGGGAAGAGACTGTCTTCCGAAAGGAACGATTAAAACAAAGGGCTCTCAAGGAAAACTAACCCAGCACAATTTCACGCAGACCCCACAAGAACATAACTCGAATGGGGCCCGATTTTGCCACGGCGTACGTGGGGCTGCAGAGACCGAAGGTTCAAAGAAAGTCCCCAGCCTCTGAGAATTCCCCTACCTGCTCCAGGAGGCGGAGGAGTACAGCTCGTTACTCAAGGGCAATGCTGTCTTAAAATGTCGCTGCCCCTGGCAGAGCAGGGGCAACAAGGGGTCCGTGCGGGGGGCCGGGGACCGCCGGGCGGCCATTGTTGCTCTGGCTCCAGGCTCAGACACGCACCAGGCCCGAAAGCGGGGCCCGGCCCCAGACGCCCCGGAGGTATCGCCCGCGGCCGAGGAGCGAGCCTCAGGCCGGAGAAAACACAAAAACCCTTCACGGCCGGACCGTGAGAACGCCAGGCCCAACGCTCGAGGACTCACCTCCGGCCCCGGGTCTCCCATTGCTCCGACGGCCTAACTGACAGCACAAGCGCTGTCCCCGCCGCCACCGCCACCGCCACCGCCGCCGTCGCTCTTGTCCCTCCCGCCGTCGCCGCCACGACTGCCCTTCCCGCCCTGCACAGCCTGGCGCTACCGCGACCCGCCCCTGCGTGAGCACCGACGCCACCAGCCGACAGACGCAAAACCGCTTCAAAGGGAGGCGCTGCCCTCACAGGCCCGTTACCCCCGGAGCCTCTCTCGCACACTCCGGGCCTGTCTGCGCACCGCGCAGGATGGTGGGAAGTGTAGTTCCCGTCGGCCACGAGACCGCCCCGCGCCGGCGCAGAAAGAGCCCGAGGCAAGGCGCATGCGTCCCGCCGGGCCGACGCAGCTCCACTCAGCAGGGGGGAGGCGAGGTCGGGTTGGCTAGAGCCACGCAGGGAAGGCTGGGGAGGCTGTGGGGGAGGGTGTTGAGTTGCTTTTGGTAGCAAAGCTCACTGATTTTTCTATTTTAGCCCTGAAGGCCAGTGGGGGGAAGTCACTTCTCTGTTTTCTTTATTTCTTTTATTTACTTTTGAGGAGGGTTACTATGTGGACCCGTAACTGAATTCTAAGATCGAAAATATCTGAAATGTCCTTACATTACTCACTTCTTTCCCCAGGTGCCGTCTCCCAGCCTCAGCAAGTATTAATACGCTTGAGGAAAAAAATTGAGGGCGCTCCAGCACTGGCCTACAGAAAACTAGTGAAGGTAGAATCCAGGATCCAATCGAAAGGGAGCCAAAACCTCCCTGACTTCATCACCAAACCGTAGATCAGTAATATTAAAATACACAGGTGACCCCCAGGTTACAAAAGAAATGCACTCCTGATAATGCCTTTAGGTCATATATTTCAGTAACTCTGATTTCTGATGAACAATGCATATAATAATAATGGCTCATAGATGGTAAATAACACCCCATAACATAAAAGTACGTTACAGAAATTTTTGTGTTCTTTGTTTTAATTGAAGCCAAGAGAACATAAAATCATACAAAAACTTTAGCTAAGAGATAGGAGAAATTTACATTAAATTTATATTAAAAGATAACATTGACCCAATGTTGCATCAACACTAGGCTAACAGGAATGTTACACTTATTTTGATCTTCTAACCAAATCAATAATAACCTTTCCATTTCAATAATTAATCCACTACATTGCTTAGTAATAAATGATGCTTTCATTGGAGCATATGTTCCATTTTTCTCACTTTATCCGTTATAATAATAATTGTTCCAATAGTTGAGTGACTGAAGCCTAATACTTTCCCAGTGAATAATAGTGCCTGGCCTTTCTCCAAATGCTTAATTATTTCTACTTTTATTTCCATTGTAATCACCTTTTTTTTCCTGCTGTAGGCCCACTTAGATTTACAGTGGACTTTTGCTTTGGAAGCGTAGTCTTAAGGATTAACACAAATTCACACAACTGAATTTAAAAAGTTAAGATGTTTTTGTGATGTGGGCTAATCTTACTGGAGACAAAATCCCAAAACTACAGATACTGGCATGGATGTGGAGAGAAGGGAACCCTTCTGCACTGCTGGTGGGAATGCAAGCTAATACACCTTTTTGGAAAGAAGCTTGGAGAACACTCAGGGATCTAAAAGTAGACATACCGTTTGATCCTGCAATTCCTCTACTAGGTATATACCCAGATGATCAAAAATCATTTATAACAAAGACATTTGCACCAGAATGTTTATTGCAGCCCAATTCATAAAAGCTAAGACATGGAAACAGCCCAAGAGCCCATCAACCCATGAATGGATTAACAAATTGTGATATATGTACACCATGGAATACTATGCAGCCATAAAAAAGATGGAGACTTCACATCTTTCATGTTAATTTGGATCATATTCTTCTTAGTAAAGTATCTCAAGAATGGGGGAAAAAAGTATCCAACGTACTCAATACTACTATGAAATCAATATATAACCACCTACACACTGACATGAATGGCAAAACATAACTATAGTCCAGAAAGTAGAAGGGAAGAGAAGAGAGAGGGGAGGGGAGGGGGGATCAGGGAGGAGGGAGGGCATTTGGGGGGACCTCACCTAAATGTACCAGTGCATGATGCAATGGTACATTTCAAAACTATTAAGAAATGAGTATAATTGTGATGGATGTGTTAAATGCATCAATGTACAAAGTTATGATTTAATAAAAAATAAAAAAAGTTAAAATGAGAGTGATACTGCACAAAAGTGTCCATATAAACAATGAGATTAACGGCTAGTATAAAGATGCTGTGCCAACCAACTGCTTATGCCAAGTGGGTTTGTTTACATGTGCAGAAGAAAATAGTTCCAGAATAACTAATTTAATAATCAATTATAAACTATCATTATGGGCAGCCTTGGGGGCCCATTTGTAAATACAGAATACCATAAGTCAGGTCATCTGTAATCTGGGGACTGCTTATACTTTTTCAGCATATCCTATTAAAATAGAACAAAGCTCTCTATTCTGTTCCATACATCTACCTCTCCATTGTTGTGCCAGTACTATGCTGTTTTAATCACTATGGATTTATAGTATAATCTGAGGTCTGGTAGCATGCACAGCTATCATTTAATTAAAAAAAAGAAAGAAAGAAAAAATAGAATAAAGCTTTTAAACAAATACACCAGCAGTTGCCAATACTTTTTTTTTTTTGGCAGTTTTTGGCTGGGGCCAGGTTTGAACCCACTACCTCCAGTATATGGGGCCAGCACCCTACTCCTCTGAGCCACAGGCACCACCTGCCAATACATTTTTAAAAAAAAACTGAACTGGGCGGCACCTGTGGCTCAGTGGATAAGGTGCTGGCCCCAAATACTGAGGGTAGTGGGTTCAAATCAACCCCAGCCAGCTAAAACAGCAATGAGAATAGCAACAAAAAATAGCCAGGCATTGTGACAGGCACTTGTAGTCCCAGTTACTCTTAAGCTCAAAAGTTGGAGGTTGCTGTGAGCTGTGAGGCCACAGCACTCTACCAAAGGCAACAAAGTAAGACTCTGTCTCAAAAAGAACTGAAGTGAGAAAATTCTTTTAAATCTTAGATACCTGTTTTTCCCCTGTGTGCAAACTACCTGATTGCCAATGTCTATAGTAATTATTTGATATTTCCTGAATCTCCACCAAGTGCTTTATGACTTGAGTTGCTTTTCCACCTACTAAGTTTGGGAATCATGGAGGTCAATTGAGAATGAGAGACCTCACTGGTGAGTTCTTCAAAAACTGTATATAAATGAAATATTTCTAAAACTTTAAATATATAGACAAAACTTGTATGATTCTTTTAATGTGCTGCTCAGAGTTTAATGGAATATTTAATTATTTTTTTTTTGTTTGTTTGTTTTTTCCGTCTCCAGCTGTTGCCCTGGGTAGAGTGCTGTGGCATCATAGCTTACAACAACTTCCAACTCTTGGGCTTATGCGTTCCTATTGCCTCAGTTTTTTTATTGTCAGTAGAGACAGGGTCTCGGTTTTGCTCAGGCAGGTTTTGAACTTGTGAGCTCAAGCTATCCACCCACCTCGGCCTCCCAGAGTGCTAGGATTATAGACATGAGTCACCTCGCCTGGCTGGAATATTTAATTAGTGGAAGGTAAAATTTAATGGGTAAAACCCTTAGGAAACAAATAAGCAGTAGGTGGCTAGAGGCAAAAAATGCTCATAACATTCAATTAAGTAATTGCAGTTTCAGAGATTTATACTGAGATACTATCACAGGTTTCTTTATAATAGCAAAAACTGAAAAATAGGGCAGCACCTGTGACCCAGTGAGTAGGGTGCCGGCCCCATATACCGAGGCTGGCCGGTTCAAACCTGGCCCCGGCCAAACTACAACAACAAAAAAAAAATAGCTGGGCGTTTGGGCATTGTGGCACATGCCTATAGTCTCAGCTACTCGGGAGGCTGAGGCAAGAGAATTGCCAAGAGCTGGAGGTTGCTGTGAGCTGTGATGCCACAGCACTCTACCAAGGGCAACAAAGTGAGACTCGTTGTCTCTTTAAAAAAAAAAAAGCAAAACTGGAAAACTGGTAAATGTCTAATGATGAAGGAATAGAATGTTTCAATTTTGGTATGCACCCTGCAAAGATCCTGGCAGGGGTGGGGAACCTGAGGCCTCAAAGCCACATGTGGCCCTCCAGATCCCGAAGGGCAGCTTCTTCAGCAAATCCAAGTTTCTTAGAACAAGTCCCTTCTTAAAAGGATTTATTCTGTAAAATTTCAATTCAGATAAAAGGTCACAGTCAAGGACCCGAGGCTGCAGGTTCTCCACCCTTGCAAGGGTGTTTTATCTTCATTGTAAATGTTTACCTAACATTTCTATAAGCACATTTTTCAAAATGGAAAAGATATATTGGATGATTAAAAGCTACATCAAACCCATTAAGCAAAACATGTTTGGTATAGGAAACCTACTTAAATATTAATGGTAGGTTTTTACTGGGTAGCTGGACTACATGTTTGTAAGAAAATCCCTTGAAGCCTGCCAACAGATTACAGACATGCTGATAGTCCCACAAAGCCAAGTTTATTTCGCTTAGGAAAAAAAATAGGCAAAGTTTAGGAATCTCTGAATCTTAAGAAGTTAAGGGTTCAGCGCCTATAGCTCAACCGGCTAAGGCGCCAGCCACGTACACCTAAGGTGGCGGGTTCGAATCCCCAGCCCAGACCCGCCAAACAACAATGATGGCTGCAACCAAAAAATAGCCGGGCGCTGTGGCGGGCGCCTGTGGCCCCAGCTACTTGGGAGGCGGAGGCAAGAGACTCGCTTGAGCCCAGGAGTTGGAGGTTGCTGTGAGCTGTAATGCCACAGTACTCTACCCAGGGGGACAGCTTGAGGCTCTTTCTAAAAAAAAAAAAAAAAAAGAAGTTAAGAACACATTGGGTTGGGTGATTTTACAGACATTTTTTGTGAAATGGAGAACTGGTTAGAACTGGAAGAAGCAGAGTTCTTTGCTGAGTGGTTCAAGGTTGAAAACAAAGATTTTAAAATTGTGTATGTGTTTGAGGAATTTTTTTATGTCATTTTTTGGCTGTGAATCCATTACTTTGCCTTGTGAGTTAAGATTTTGAAGACAGCCCATCATTGGGTTTGATAACTCCATTAATTTAATTCTCTTTGACTTGTCCTAAGTGATATTAAAATAGATTTCTAGAACTACATTGGCAATATTCTGAATCTTCTGATATTTTTTCT